CGTTTTCAACCACCTTAACCAACTTCAGTGGTTCAACTTCAATTTGGTGCAGCTTAGCAGCTGGTTTATCCTTTTGCAGTTCCAATTCAATACTCTCCTCATCTATGGACTGTGATTGAGATTGGGAGTCATCCACGGACTCAACCTCAACCTCATCTATGCCATTCGAAACATGTCCAGTATACCAGACCCCAGACTCAGCAGTACCAACCATGTCCATCACACCCTCCTCGATACCAAGAAGAAACTCACACAAGTTCTTCACATTTGGAGGAGTGGGAGGGGTGGGATTCCTATTCCCTTTTTTCCCTTTCTTCGCCATCAAAGAAGTGAGGAAAGAGGCCAAGGATAGCCACACTTACCAGGAGAACATCGGAGACTCAGCTAAAGACGAGGATGAACAGTGCTGCGGAAAACCCCAGTATGCGTTGACCTCACACCTTCAAGAGAAACCGGTTCCTTGGGTAGATGTGCTCGTCGTGAGGAGGGGAACAAGAATATGCAATCAATTTGGAGAGATTCACCGGAGAGCGCCTTCAATTTGGACGGAACCAGCGGCGGGTACTGTTCATCCCGAATCGCCAGAGAGAGAAAGCTCAGTCCGTCCTATTGAGAGCATTGAGACCCAACACCTCTTCTTTGGTTGTGAGTCTGTTGCTCTCATTTGGGGAGCCATTTGGAGTTGGTTGAAGATTATGCCTGCCTTATCCACACTGGACAGGGCCATCTCCTGGGTAAGGAGACAAGGCAAGGCTCACTGTTCTAAAAGGAAGATGTGGAGACTTGTGATATGGGTCCGGTAGTGCATGGGGAACCGGAGGTTCGTCGAAGTGAGAGGCCAAGGCGTGTACCGCGTTGGCAACGAGACTACAACATGCATTAGTTTTGTTTTATTACTTCAATAATAATGTAATTTAGTATTTTTCTAGGTGAGCAAAATATAAGCTCCTTCGAGGGTTTTTTTACGGTTCTTTACCTCGTCGCTTTTTTTGAACCGTCAGGTTAGCGAACGTAGTTGTTTAGGATTGGGCTTCTCTATATCTTTAAATAGAGATTAAACCCCTTTGGATAATTATCAATAATAATTTAATTAACTCTCTCTCACTCGCGTCTCTTCCTCTCTCACGGCTCTAAGCACGCCTCTGCGTTTGCTTCTGCCGTTTCTTCCTTCCCTCATCTTTTTTAAGAGTTTGGGGAGCACTCCGAGCCTCCTTCGACGATACGTACTGTATCAACTTGCTATCTTGACTATGGTCTACTACACTTGGAAACTCAGGAATGGTGTTCGCTTTGACAACGAGGCTGTTAACGTTGATGCCACCGTCACCAAAATAAAGGTGGGGGTGTACAAGGTTGTGAACAGATTGTACCCCCATCACCTCCTGGACCGATGATCTCTTGGAATTTTGCTGATTTATTAACTCTTTACCGATCACTTTGGCTACCGCATGTTCCAATGATAATCGTTTAAGGAACAATGGCTGATTCTACCTTCGGGTTGGAAATAGAATAAGCTCTCCTTATCCTTCTTTGGATCATTAGAGACTATTCTAGGTCCAGATTTGGATTGTGGAAACAAATTAAACCCTTAGTTACCTTACCTCGTGTGGGTAACTAAGGAGTGATTTGGATCCGTCACTTCTGGTGGTTTGGGGCGGTTGTGAAACACATCAAACTTTAAGTACCAATACATTCGTAATGAATTGGTACTTATAGAATGAAGTGGGTCATGGGGTGGTGGGACCTGGGGGGTCCCGGGGGGTGTCTGCTTACACACTCGTTCTTTGTATATTCCTTTCTTTGACCCCCTCTCCTCCCTTCCCTCTGTTTTTCCTCTCCCCTTTGCTTGTCACCTCTCTTCTTTCTCCCCTCTTTACTCTTTCTAAAAACATTCCCAACTATACTAATCAAATATAACTCTTGGGATTGGATTAGTGGAGAATGGAATGGGTCCCTTTGGGTTGGGACTTTTAGTCCTTGGGTGGTGGGACCCTGGTGGTTTACCACTAGCGTGGTTGGGAAACAAACCAAACCCTATGTACCCCTTCTGGATACATAGAGAGTGTTTTGGGTCTCGGGGGTGTATGTGGCCACACATACTCCTTTCTATTGTTCTTGTCTTCTCTCCTTCCTCCCCTCTTCCCCTTCCTTTCTGTTTTGTTTTTTCTGTTTGTCATCTTTCCCTTCTCTCCTCTGTCTCTCCCCTTTCTTCTGGAAACATTCCAAACTACACTTAACCAATCTAACTCTCTAGGATTGGATAAGTGGAGAGTAGAATGGGTCCCTTTGCTCACTGGAGCTGGTTTGTTACTAGCTAAACTATACTCTTTATAGTATGGCTTGGGACAGGTGGCTTCAGGTGTTAATTTGGCACACCTTGGTTACGGTTTCGCTTGTGTTTGGAATACCTGGGCTTATTTTGTAGTCTTGCATCCCCACCTTATGCCCCCCCCCCCTTCTACATTATGTCACCCTACCTTATTTGTATAAGGGGAGGATTGATTGCTACTTTGTGACGTTTGTGGTGGGTCTGGGGCTGAAATAGGGTGCTGGGCTGCCTTAGAAGACCCGGGTTTTACTCATTGCTTGCTTGGAACTTGGACTGGACACATGCTGCTACAGCCTTGCTACTGCCGAATACCTACTGGACATGGATGCTGGGCTTATGAACTTGCTTGCTAGACCTGGGAGCTGGACAGTGCTGCTGGAGTGCTACCGCATGGAGTGACTGGATTGCTGGGCTTGTAGCTGGATACTATTGGAATTGAACTCAAAATGGATGGAATTTGCATAGGCCTCGCACCTAAAGACCTGGGCTGCCTCACCTGCAAATGCGTGGAAATAGGACTGCTGTCGATTTAATGCCTGGTACTGCTGCTTGGATCTGATGATGCTGCTGGATGATGATGCTGGATGATGCCGCTGCTGTGCTACTGCTACTATCGCTGAGTTGCTGCCTCGAGGAGCTGCTGCTGCTACTTACAGCTTGCATACAGGTGCTGCAAATGGAATTTGGTTTGGGAAAAGGAACTTCTATGCTGTGTGTATCTTACATATGCTTGATGTCATGTGCTTAACCATGAGTTCGGTTCATGTGCACTACCTAGACTGCGTTTGAGTTGTGTTTGCTTTGGACTTGGGCTGCTAATGTGTTGTTTGGATCATTAATCTAAGTGGAACATTTGACACTACTCCATAGTCCATACCAAAATAATGAAAGCTGCTGTTTGGAATCTTGTGAACATCTTGGGCTCCTAGCGGGTGATGTTTCTTGGCACTCTCTATATAGATCATTTTGGACCACTTTGCCACATTTGTTAACTCAATGGCATTTGTTTATGAACTCCTTTGATGTTGATTGATTTTATGTTGCTTATCCTTCGATATGAGTTGTAATTTTATTTGTTGTAATTATTTCTTGTAGTCTAGGTTTGAAACTGTCTCCATGCACGTAACCATCATTATGGTTAAGCATTAGACATTGATGTATTTGTTTTATTACGGGTAATAATAATTTACATGTTACCTCGATGATAGTAGAAATAAATAAATCATGAAAGAATACTACCATAAAAATGAATATTTTTCTTCCATAATTAAATTTATTCAAAGATTTCATATCAAAATATTGATTTTACGTATAGTATTGAAACAATATTTTATTAAAACTATAATTTATAGGGAAAGTAACTTTAATTTTAAATCTGAATTCATGGGTTCAAAATAAGTAATTATCATTTTTTTTAAAAAAAGAGAAAATGTGAAATAATGAAAGAGGGAAAATTTGGTTAAATTATCACCTAATATGCCATATGTCAAGTTCTTAATGTGCCACATGTCAAATTCTGAATATGCACATGTCAAGTTTTTATAGATTGGAGTCTCAAATTTATATATACTAGAATAGAACTAGAACTAGAATTTGTACCCGTGCCATGCACGGGGTAGAACATTTTATTTTGTTTTCTTATTTTTCATCGTGACAAAATTTTTCAAATAACATACATAAAACATATAGAATTTGCTAATTAAAATTCTACTATATACAAAGTCTTATTTAAATTATAATATTTTGAAAAATGTTGAGGTATACAATATTTTTTTGTGATGTTATAAAGATTACCAAAGACATGTAAAACTAATAATTTCAACTTTATTTTTACTCTCACTTGTGAAATAATAATATAATTTAATAATAAGTGAATACGAGTTTGGTAAAAAGAATATTATTAATGCCAATATTTGACATTAACTTTTTTTATAATCACAAGTCATAACGAAACATAAGCTATAAGTTTTAAATGATATAAGTTATATTTAACGAAACATAAGTTATAATTAATCAATGTTTGAAAATTATATTCTTTGAAACTTCAAGAGTAATCATGTATGAAATGATATACGGAATATAATTCATTTATGTTGTCCATGTAAACCTTCTCTAAGGCTTTATTTTCTAATACTACAATTGCACTCAAGATAATTTTTCATAACTTTCAACGCTTAACCTTGTACTATTATACAATTCAGAGAAAACGTATATGGTACAGTCGGTTTTACCAGAAGTAAGGTATATTCGAGTAGTATTCATTTTAAAGTAAAGTAGTACTAATTCTCAGACAAATATAAACGTTCATTTTAAAATAACATAGTACTCATTCTAAAATAACGCAATACTCATTTTCACAGATTTATACAATACTGATGGATATCGGGTCTGATGAACCCGACTCTAGGCCCGATAAAGGCCCACAATCGTGCAAGGTAAACGAGTCCAGGTATGCGTAACGGATCAGGCCCATCGAGGCGCATATGGGTGACGAGGCGGACGGCCCACCCATGGGCTGAACTGAGAGGATCCAGTCCGAGGAAGGAACATGACACGTGGCCCACGCTCCAAATCGTGGGGAAATGGAAAGAAATCAAGACCAGAATAGAAGGGAATCACGACCCCATGATCTCCATAAAACCTTCCAATACGTGTAACCTTGATTGAAAAACTAGAAGTATTATAAAAGGAGGGAGAACCCGCCATTGTAAGAGGGAAGAAAATGATTGATTACACACCCAATTAAGAATATTATTGCGAGATTATATTTTCCTTATTCTTATTCCGTTCTTGGTTCGCCATCTGATCGGGTTAATCCCTTCATTGGTGCTTTCATTGAGAGATACTGTGAGACGAAATTGTGAGATTATGGCCGGACGAAGGACGAGACGTAACACCGCCGCTTCCGCCCAGTCAACGGTGAGGAGCGACCAGCCTGAACAAGGCATGGTTGTTCTAGTCAATGGGCTGGAAACGGCGTTGAATAATGTGGCTAACATGATGGCCAACATTATTGAACGCTTAGATCAGGCTCTCCCTGGCCCATCTGGTACCCGGAATGTCCCTGCTGGGCAGCCCCGCCAGGTCCTGCATACTGCCAGTACTCCCATCCTCCAGGAGCTTCACGATCCGGAGGAGGTCGAGAGGGAGAGACAGGCTATCGCTAGGCTCCAGGCGGAGGAGTTAGCCCGGAATAATAGGGCGAATGGGGATCGAACCAGGGCCATGAGTCAAATCATAGGCAACGGAAATGGAAACCCGCGGGGAACAATTTTTGAAAGGATATCTCACCAGAGGGCTCACGTTAGTGAGAGGCTGGGGAAGAATCCGGACAAGGCACCCCAGGGCTGGGTACGACCCTAGACCAGCCAAGTGGCATCCTCTAACCGTGAACCCCGGCAGCAGACCGGCCAGGGTGGGAGCCAAGCGCCAACGCGGCCATTGGTGGTCTTGGACGAGGAGGAAGTTCAAAGTCAAGCCAGGGTCCCAGCGGCGCGGAGTCTGGGGCCACAAGTTCCGGAAGCTGGTGAGTTCCAGGATTTGAGACAACAGATCCAGGAGATGCAGAGGAAAATAAACAGGGGACGAGTGTTCACTACCCAGACGAATACCCCGCTCGCCCCGGAGATCTTTGCAGAACCATATCCTCAGGGATTCAAAGTGCCGTTTGTCAAGCGTTATGATGGGGAATCGGATCCCCAAGAACACATAAATAGCTATGTCCAGGTGATGATCGCCGTTGATGCCAGCGACGTGTTGATGTGTCGATGTTTCTTGCAGACGGTTGATAGCAAGGTTGCGGATTAGGTGAATCACATTCCGGCCGGATCGATCCGGACTTGGGATGAGTTGGGATTGCGGTTCCTAGAGCATTTTGCAGGGAACTGCCGTCCCAAAAAGCATTTTACCCACTTGGCCTCAGTGCGACAGAAGCACGGGGAGTCCCTGAAGAACTTCCTCGTCAGATGGAGAAAAGAATCCAGGGAAGTTGAAGGAACCGACGATAAATCCAGGTTAGCCATGTTCACAGCGGCATTGCAGGATGGTCTCCTTCATACCGATCTCACAACTCATCCTCCGGATACCTTTGAGGAAGCAATGGTTCGGGCTGGAAGGTATGTGACCCTGGAGGAGAGGAAGGAGGAGAAGAAAGAGAAGACTCCCAAGGAAGAAGAGAAGGTGGGAAACAAGAAGCCTTTCAAGAACAAGAAGCAGGGCTTCCCGGATGGCCCGAAGGGCACGAACCCTGGGACCTCGGAGAAGCAGAAATCTGCTAATCCAATGTTTACATTACCGGTGGCTGAGGTCATGGCCCATGATGCACATCAGGGACTAATGACATATCCAACCTATTCCTAGAAGGTCTGCGATGTGGAGGACACTGGGAAATGGTGCGCTTACCACCACAAGAATGATCACAACACGGAAGGCTGTAATACCTTGAAGAATGAGATGGCCAGGCTAATCCGTCGTGGCCATCTGAAGAAGTTTGTACAAGATGGGGAAATCCCGGGAACGCTCAGAATGGGAAGCGTAGAGAAGGGCAAGTGGCCCAGGCCGAGGCCCGGGAGAAACGCCACATCGGACTTGAGGATGAAGAGGAAGATTCAGAACCCGCGCCACACTGACAGAAGAGGCACCATGGGTGTAATTACATCATTGGTGGGAACCTTGGTGGAGATTCGGCCACAAGTCGGAAAAAGTGGGCTAGTGCGGCGATGGTCAATAAGGTGGCGGCCCCTGCCCAACCGGAAGGTAAGAAGCTGGAAACTGAGCCGATTGTATTTTCTAATGCTGATTTGTCAGAGACGGGGGTCCCCCATAGGGACGCTTTGGTGATTACAATCGATATAATGGACTTGCTGATCCACAAGACTTTGGTGGATACGGGAAGTTCCGTTAGCATCATGTATATGGATACTTACAAGGCTCTTGGTCTGACGAGAGACGAGTTATTGCCCATCAAGACTCCTCTGACTGGGTTCACAGACGACTCTATTGAACCGGAAGGGGTGATAACCCTGCCGGTCGAGGTAGGAGATACTAAGGCCACTCGAAAATTGGACATGGAGTTCGTTGTAGTGGGAATAATCTCCAACACCAATGTCATTCTGGGAAGACCCGGATTAGAAGATTTGGAGTGTGTCATCTCACCTCGTCACCTATGCATAAAGTTCCCAACCCCCCATGGGATTGGAGTTGCCAGGGGATCCCAGAGGGTGTCCCGGGCGTGGTATTTGAAGGCAACTAAACAACCTATCAGATACGATACCCAGGTTGGGGAGGTGACCGCACAGCTCTTAAGAGTCGAAGAAAGACGACCCAGAGTTGAAGTTGCGGGTGACGTAGAGGAGGTGGAACTGGAGCCAGGCATGCCAGGAAGGTTGGTTAGAATGGGAAAGGGCCTGGGGGCTGAACTCAGGTCACGAGTAATCTCTGTTCTTAGGAGATTCAGGAAGGTCTTTGCATGGAGTCCAGCTGATATGCCGGGTTTGGATCACAAGATTGTAGTTCATCGTCTCAACATTTTGCAGGATGCCAAACCGGTGAAGCAGAAGCGGAGGCATTTGTCGCAGGGAAGGAGAGACTTCGTGAAGAAGGAGGTGACAACCTTGCAGAGCATTGGGCACATCCAGGAGGTGCATTACCCGGATTGGTTGGCAAATGTAATCTTGGCACCTAAGCCTCCTTCGTGGAGAATGTGCGTCGATTACACGGACTTGAACAAAGCATGTCCGATGGATCCGTTTCCTCTCCCCAATATTGACCAGATGGTGGATGAGACTGCCGGATCAGAATTGATGAGTTTCATGGACGCCTTCAGTGGCTACCATCAGATTCGAATGCACCCAGCTGATGCTGAGAAGACAAGTTTTATGACCCCTGAGGGCCTATACTGTTACTTGGTAATGGCATTCGGACTGAGAAATTCCGGGGCAACATACACCCGGATGGTTTCTCAGGTGTTCAAAGCTGTCTTGCGGCGAACCATGGAAGCTTATGTTGAGGGATATGATTGTCAAGTCCAGAGAGGCCCAAAACTTTGTCCGGGACCTTGAGGAGGTCTTTGAAATCATGATGAAGGTAAACTTAAGATTGAACCCAAAGAAGTGTACTTTTGCTGTCCAGGGTGGAAAATTCCTGGGGCACATGGTTAGCCGAAGAGGGATTGAGGCTAACCCGGAAAAGGTAAGGGCCATCATGGAGATGGAACCACCAAAGACAGCAAAAGAGGTCCAGCGGTTGACGGGGAGGTTGGCGGCCTTGAATCGTTTCCTTTCGAAGTTGGCACAGAAGGCACACCCGTTCTTTACTGTAATCAAGAAGAGGACGACCTTTGAGTGGACGCAAGAATGTCAAATGGCATTCGAAGAATTGAAGAAATATCTGGCGAGCCCTCCGGTTCTATCCAAGCCGGAACCTGGGGATGTCCTGACATTATACTTAGCAATTGCAGACTGCGCCATCAGTACTGTGATTGTAAGAGAAGAGAACGGGGCCCAGCATCCGGTCTATTATGTCAGTAAGACCTTGAGAGATGCGGAGCTGAGGTATTCCCACCCAGAAAAAGCCATGTTAGCTGTCTTCTGGACCGCGAAGAGACTAACCCCGTACTTTCAAGCTCACCGGATTGTGGTACTCACGAATGAGTCCTTGGCGTCACTTACGCGAAGCCCAGCGGCATCCACCCGAATGACCAAGTGGGCGGTCTTCATTAGTTAGTACAATGTGGAGTTCAGGCCGCGTCCATCAATCAAAGGGCAGACACTCGCCGACTTTCACGTTGAGTGTACGGCCAGGGAGATGACAAGAGCCCGGGTTGGCACCCGGGTAGAAGATGACTGGTGGGTGATGAGCATCGAAGGATCTTCCGGGTCCCGATCCTTTGGAGCAGGTATCGTCTTGATTACTCCGGAAAGTTTTCGGATATATTACGCTATCAGATTTCAGTTCCGCTTGTCCAACAATGAATCCGAATATGAGGCCCTAATTAATGGACCGAAGATTCTCGGCAAGCTGGGGGTGTCCAGGGTCCAAGTATACAGCGACTCCCGCTTGGTTATGGGACAAATCAGTGGGGAGTTCGAAGCAAAGGAAAAGAGGATGAAGAGATACCGAGACTTGTCCTTGGAAATGTTGGGAAGATTCGAGTATAAGCTAGAGCACATACCTAGAGCGTACAACGCGGAGGAGTTGGCAACCCCCAGTCTCAACAGGGATGAAGTGCTCTGGGTGTCAACCGACCCCCCGGAGTGGTTAGCTAGGTTGGTTAGATACATTGAGGACGGGGTAGCCTCGGAAGATCCCCAAGAAGCCCGGTTGTTGCGAATGAGAGCACACACCTACAAAGTGCAGGAGGGAATCCTTTATAAGCGGTCCTATGACGGTGTTTTACTCCGCTGTCTTAGAGCGGCAGAAGCAGAAGCGCTTATGGAAGAGATACATGAAGGAGTATGTGCGGCACATCAGGGCCCATACTCTATCTCTAGAAGGGCGATAATCCAGGGATATTTCTGGCCAACGATGAGGAAGGATTGTGAGGAGTATGTGCGCAAGTGTCCAACTTGTCAACAGTTTCAGAATATACCCGAGAGGCCAGTCACAAATTACACGCCCATTAGTTCGGTGATCCCTTTCTCCAGGTGGGGGATCGATATCGTGGGTGCCCTGCCGAAAGGAATTGGACATGCAAGGTGGATAGTGGTGGCCATAGACTATTTTACCAAATGGGTAGAGGGTGAGCCACTTGCTGGGATCACAGGGAAGCAGATGATCGACTTCGTGGGAACCAATATACTTTGTAGGTTTGGGGTCCCGAAGCAGATCATATCTGACAACGGAACTCAGTTTGAAGAAGCGGAGTTCCAAGACTTCCTCAAAACCTGAGGAATTCAGCATACGAAGGTATCCGTAGCCTATCCCTAGGCTAATGGTCAGGTGGAGAACGTCAACAGAACGATTATAAGTGGGATAAAAAAGAAGTTGCTGTCGGAAGGAAGCAAATGGGTGGATGAACTACCCAGAGTCCTATGGACGTACAGAACCACTCCAAGAAGGGCCACGAGTGACACTCCTTTTGGCCTGGCCTATGGGTTTGAAGCCCGGGCACCAGCTGAAACGGTGATCCTAACCAGGAGAGAAATGACATATGACCCGGAAGTGAACGAACAAAACCAGGCCATCGAGCTGAACTTCTTAGAGGAACGAAGGGATGAAGCACAAATCGGGGCAGAGAATTACCGTCGCCAGGTGAAATCTTACTTTGATAGTAAAGTGAAACCGAGGGCGTTCCAGGTGGGGGATTACGTCCTAAGAAAGCGAGAAAAGAGTCAACCAGCTAAGGGCGGAAAGTTGGTCAAAAAGTATGAAGGACCTTATATCATCAAGGCCGTGGTTTGCCCAGGTACCTACAAGTTGATGACTCCAAAGAGAAAAGAAATAGATAGGATGTGGAATGTAGAGCACTTGGTAACATTTTATCAGTAAAATTGTTTTGTAAGGCACTCTACTTTTTCGTTTAAGGCATTCTCATTTGTTTCAACAATAAAGAATTTCTTTCCTCTAAAGCCAAGTGTCTTTGCAATTCCATTGTTCTGTAGATTTCTAAAAAAAAAAAGGGGGGGTGGGGGGAACACCCCCGGGAAAGATAGACCCACATTACAGGGAGGTAGAAAAGTTTATGCCACCTACTAAAGATAGGGGAGGTAGATAAGTTTATGCCCCCCGGAGGTAGTTAAGTTTATGCCTCCGTGAAATATGAAAGAAGGGTTGGGATCGGACTTCGAGGGCCTTTACAACCCGGAATTCAAGAAGAACAGCAAGCAGACTTCGAGGGCTGAAGCTTAGTATTCCACCAGCACGGATCAACCGAGCAAACAAACTTCGAGGGTTGGCGCTCAATTGATCCAAGGTAGATAAGATTATGCCTTAACCCGGAGGAACGGAGGACGGGGGCAGATGAGGTAAGCTCCTACGACATATTCAAACCCCGGGAGATGAGATTTTATACAAGGTAAAAGCATTTGTACTTGCATTTTATGATGTGCAAAGAAATAAACACGAGGAGCTATATTGATGGGTAAAAGGCTTTATCTTTCGTCCACAATAATGGTTCCCAACGAGATGAATGAAACAAGGGAGTGAGGAAGTTCATCGATTGCTAATTCGAAGGATATATCTTTGGATTACAAAGATTGTTCCTGATCTGAGATTAAAGGACATTCCTTGGCATAGGACGCGGGGGTAACCCCCGAACCAAACAAGTGAATGTCTCTTGAGATAAAACAAGAAAAGAAAAAACTGATCCGCAGGGAGCTAGGCGCTGAAGGAGGGCCAATTGCATCCATGTAGTCAGCTGGAAGGAGGTGGGGGGCCTCTCCACAGGCTCCTTCTCTCTGACGAAGGATACGCGGCGGAATCGTCAGCCTCGCCCATGTCATAGTCTTCCCACGTCCCAGGTCGGGGTGCAGGTGGTGCAGATGGTGAACCGTCACTGGGAGACCTTGGCAGGTTTGGAGAAGCTGTCCGGATTTCACGCGAAAGTTCTGCCTCTACGGCCTGAAAAGAACGCCCAAGTCTAGCCCTGCGCATCCTCTGGTACAAGGCGAAGCCTTGGAGGGTTATGGAGTCCGAGTCTATCCTCCCGGACGGGAGCCTGGGTGGACTAGGAGGTGAAGGCGCAGGGAGACGGGGTGGTGGATAGAGTCTTGAGAATACACCGGGACTCAGCCCAGCCATGTCATTGGACTGAGCATGCAGGAAGATCATCATCTGAAGATGAAGAGGTACCAGAAAGGGTTAGGTCAATGAAAACCTTACCCTGGGCTTTGTCTGTCATGCTGAAGAGATCAGAAAAGAATGAGCCAGCAAAAAACCATCTTTCCCCATTTATAGTAAAGGGGAAGGGATCGTTGGGAAGCAGCAAATATGGTTAAAAGGCGTGGAACACTTGGTGATTGGCGGGTGAAGCGTTTGTGTTGGTTCCCGAGGTTTGACTAGGGTTTCGCCACTCAAGTGCATGGGCCAATTCAGGTGGGCCCATCTGTACTTTGGGAAAGAACCGAAGGGAAGAGACAGACCAATCCTAGGTCCAAAAAGAAGAATAGTTTATCAAAAGGAGGCAAATAAGTTCATGCCCCTCGATAGGAATACGAAGGGAATCACACTTCCCCAGGAAGGGTTTTGGGAGGAAGAATGAGACAAGTATTCTCCTTTCCAAATGCTCCTAGGGGGGTCGGGATAAAACATCGTCCTTGAATTGTAAGAGTTAAATAGATATAGACTTCTACTTCATGCAGACGATGGCACACAAGGTATGATTATAATAAATGACAGGAGATAAAGGTTTTCATTAGATAACTCATATAGAGAATTACGTTCTTTTGGGTTACAACAATGGACCTTGTCCCTGATCTAACGATGAAAGCGTTAAAAGACAGGAGAGAGAGTTTTTCATTAGATAACTCAAATAGAAAATTACATTCTTTTGGGTTACAACAAGTCACTTTTTCCCTGATCTACTTCTACCCTACTACTGAAAAAATCTGAAGGCTGGGCGAAACGGCGCTTCAATGATCCATGGGGAACACCGCGGCAAGGGGAATGAATCCGCTGGCCCTTGCTGCCCCGCCTGGACCAGAAAAGAACACCAGAGCGGGGAGGTGTGGAGAGAGCCCATCGTCCTCCAGATGCCTCCTTCAAAAGAAAAAAAACGAAAGGGTACAGAGGGTGGGATTGAAAACCATGCCTCGTGGACACCCTTCAGTCGTTCCCACGAAAGTAGGAAATGAGAACAATGAAGCATGAGGGGAGGATTTACGGCTTCATTCCCCCTACGCCGGAGGGGGAGGCGGATCCTGGAAGGTTCCGTCCTTTTCCCTCCGCGTAGACGGATGCCTATTTCCCCCCATGTCATAGTCCCCCCACTCCTCAGGGCTCTGTCTATATGACAGCTGAGGAGAGGGAGAACCTTGGGAGGAAGGCCTTGCACCCGAGACCAACCGGGTAGCTTCTGAGTGAGGATTGCGCCTCTTCTGGGAACGGGATGTGTCAGGACGGCCAGAAGAGGCTTCCGTCCTAGTACCGTCAGGGAGCACGCCTGGGCGGGAGAGAAGTCACTGACTTTTCAGAGCCGGAGGAAGGTCAAGAAGAGAATTCAGGTGTTGGGGCTCCAAGCGAGGGAAATACCAATGAGGAGGAATCAGAAGAAGAATCAGAGATAGTCAGATCAATAAAGACAACTCTGTTGGAATTATTAGCCATGTTGAGAAGTTGGCTGTGATAATGAAAGTGTTCTCCCTGGTTCCTTAAATAGGCGAGTGACGCTAAGAGGGAGTGCGAAGGATGCGGAGTCAAAGCGCTTATCCGATTGGGAAACAGTTGCGGATTCCCAAGGAAAACTAGGGTTGCGCCACTCATCATGGGCTTGGGCGAATTGGGCCCGGCGTAATTAAGGTGGGCCAGTCACTTAGCGCCACAGGAGCGAGCGTGTTTGAAGAAATACAGATGTGGATGTAAGTACAAATGAGATATTGACAAAGGATAAAATGCTACAAGCATCACCATGTTGATACAACTAAAATATTACAAAGTAAAATACAGCAACTGTTGGAGAAGGAGAAAATCAAGGTCCCGGGTTGGCACGAGAGTCTGGGGGAGGAAGATGAAGAGGCAAGCCGTAGTATGTGATGAAATCATTCAAGGTCCGGTGAGTCGGAAGACCACTCTGGACCGCCTCGTAAATGCAGAACTGCATGTCAAATTTCCCCTCTTCGTAGAGGGCCTCTGCACGGGCGGTCAAGGCGGCCACCTCTCCTTGATGGGAAGCCACTGTCTTCTCCAGTTCTCCCACCTTCAACCATAGCTCATTGGCAATCTTTCTCTCCTTCTCCAGCTTCTGGAGGGCTTCTCGTTTCAACCCCATGTGTTTCAACATGACCTCACTAAAGTGGGCACCCTCTTGCTTGGCCTCATGGAGTGATTTCTCCAACTCGGAGATCCGGGATTCCCTTTCAACCAGTTCAGCTTTCACACTCCCCTCTTTGCCTTCCAGGGCAGAGACTTTCGACTCCAGACAGGAGATTTGCCCCCGGAGTTTGTCAAACTGTGGCTCCAGGTCCTGGGTACTTCCTTGGTAGGTGGCAATCTGCTCTTGCAGGGACTTGACCCTGGACCTCTCAGCCAGCAGTTCCGCTGAGGCATCTGCTTTGAGCCTGGCATTCTCCTCTTGTAGGGCATGAACTTGCTGCTCGAGGGAACCAACCTTCAGTTGCAGAGCTCTGGCGGCCAACTCCTTATCCTTTAGGACCTCCATAGCTCGATATTTTCCCCATGTTCCACCCAGGTACTCCTCAGTCATAGTGAGGAGTGATTGTTGGGTCTGGAAAGGCGGGAGGAGACTCAAGAAAGGGATAATTTAAGAGAAATAAGGAGACTTTCAAAAGAGAAGGGTACCAGCTCCATGGAGTGTAGGACAGGCATCAAGGGCAAGCAGGTCAGGGCGTGCCTGTGGAATTATGGGACCCTGCACCGATCTCCTCATCTTCTCCAGATTGACCTGGATGGTAGAGTGGGAGGCCTTCAGGGAGTTCAGACCACGAGAAAAACCTGCCCAACCCTCCCTGAAGATAGGATACGTTTGCGGCGTGAACCTGCACTGGATGGGGAGATTGAAGGTCGGGGGCGCTGCGGCGGAACGCTGCTCCTTCGGTTCCTTCTGTCCCCCAACCTCTTTCTCCATCCCTTGGGGAGCAGCAGTTGAATCATAGAGTCACTAATCCAAGAATTTCATTTTTTGAATTGTGTGGTAAAGTGGAAGCATATTTTTTAATCGATGCGAGGAAGGAGATCAAATTCATAATAACACGGGGGAGATGAATCAATTTCTTTCCTAATCTATATTAATGCAGGAAAAAGAGTCATGTTTTTCTCATCATAGAATCATAGGATTGTAACCCATGTTATTTTGAATTAATTTGGGGGAGAAGAATCATAGGATTGCTAATATCTTTTTCATTAATATTTTTTGAATTAATGCAGGAAATAAGAATCATAGGTTTGTAAAATTATTAAATTTAGATAATTATATTTGAAGTTTAAGTGGTATACTCCATAGAAACAAAGTCAGAGAGAAAGCCTGCATACCCTAAATTAATTTGGTAGCATTTGATCGAGGATTATTGTTAAAATTTTAAAGAAAATAATTTCCAAAATTTTATGCTTTGCTATGACTATTAATGAAATTCAAAGTCAAACATTCTCATTTGTTAGTTTATTTATTAACAATTCAATATTCAGTTATGATTAACTTTATATTGTTGTTTCCGAGTAAAATTAATAAAAGTATGATTAACATACCTGGAGTATTAGATTTAGATGCCACTAACTCTTGCAACTTCACAAAAGAAAATATCTCAAACTTTTTCAAATATTTCTAATTTAAATAAGACTTTGACATGTTCATTTCTATATTTATATAGTAGAATTTTTATTAGCAAATGTTATATGTTATATCATTCCTTTAATTGTTAATGTTTATGTTTTATTCTATTCGATTCTTGAATAATAATATATTAAAGAAAATTTGTAGAATCAAAAAATTATTTCGTTTCACTCCGTGCAAGGCACGGGTTGAAATGCTAGTCCTTTATATAAATTTGAGAGTTTGGTCTCTAAGAGAATGACATGTGTCAAACTTCAAAGAGTGACATGTGTTAATATTTAGAGAATAACATGTGGCAATCTTTAAATATTTATTTTCTTTTTTAGTATTTCACCTCCTTCTCTTTTCTTCTTCAATTATTTTGTCTTTTTAACTATGTTTTTTAAAAATTATAATTAATTATTTTGAATTCATGAATCCAAATTTAGAATTAATAGAATTTGTAAATTTTAATAAAATTTTATTTTATCACAAGTATACGTGAACATTTTTTAACACCTGGCTCAAATTTAATAAATTTTAAAATTTTCAAACAAACTATTAGGCATATGATTTTTTTAAATAAAATGTTGTAATCATGTCAATTATAAATCATACAGTTCATCAAAAAATGTAAAACATTATGTTATTTGTCAAATGATCAACAAAAATATATTTAAAAAAGTAGTCAATAGAATTAAAAGCAAAAACAATTAAAAAAAATTAGAACTTCAAGCATTTATTAAAACAATCAGTCAATAAGGTAAAAAGAAAACAATTTTAATAGAAATGTAAAAAGGAAATAATTGATAACAATCTGATCTACTTATAATTATAAATGTATTTAATAAAAAAATTTAATAATTGTATAAAAATATATCAACTACTCAACTTAAAACTAATAAAGACTTCTTTTAATATATAATTAACCTTTTATATAATAAACAAGATATTCTCTCCATCTCTATAAATTTTAATATTTTTTAAATTTATATGAAGTATTTGATATAAAGAAGTTACTTATTATTATATATATTTAAATAAAATATATATATATATATATATATAAAATACAAATAGTATTTAATAAATAATCATTAATTAATTATTTATATATAAAAATGATACTTAGATCACTAAGTATATATTTAATAAAAGATATATTTAAAAGACAAATATATATTTAATAAACCTTTTATTATACTACTTTACTAATCCACATAAATATTAAGGACAAATAAAGAATCATTAATTATTTATATATAAAAATGATACTTAAATCACTAAGAAACTAACATATGCCATATTTATCCAGTTTTTTAAACAAGTAATATATCTAAAGTATAAATCTGGAGAACACTTACCTAAATGTTTTAGAAAAACAAATAAAAGGGAGGACAAGCATATTTTTTATTACGTTATACAATACAATTGCCTATTATGATATGATATATGTATTTAAATTATGGAATAAAATTGATTCAAAAAATGTGTTACCACGACTTACTCTATTTACACTAACATTCTTTATGATTTCAATATTATTGAGTAAATTAAGTTATGGAATAGAGATCAACTCTTTTATTACAAAATAAAATATTTTTCTATTTTTATTTTCTTCACTTTATTTAAAATAAAACTATCAATGAATAAATAAGATTTTCTTTCTTGAAAAGGGTTCTTTCTTAACCTCTAAAAAATCATAGTTGTTTATGACAAACTTAAATGAAGTTAGTTTTTATTTTTTTCATTCTCAATATTAATTTAAAATAAAATATAAAAATATATGTTAATCTCTACATTAAAAAACTATTAAACAAAAAATAAATACACTAATTTTTTAAATGATCAAATATTTAAGTCAAATAAATTAAAAAGGAATGATTTTACGTCCTTATATTCTTTTACATCCAAAAAACTAAAATAATCAAATGTTTTTGTAAATTTCTATTCGAATCATTGGATCACTATTTTTTTCATATTCATTTTTTTGAATTAATGTAGGGGAGTGAAATCATTTGATTTTTATTGTATTTTAACTATAATTTTTTTAATCATAGTAAATCTAATCTTTTATTTTTTGAATCATGCTGGAGAGAAGAATCATATTTTTTTAATCAATACGAGGGAGGATAATCATATTAATGCAAAAGAGACGAATAATATTTATTTCACTAATGTAAATTAATGAGGCGATGCGGGGTAAAAGAATCATATTTTTGAAAAAAAAAATTGGTAATCTGTTTTTTAAATTAATACAATGAAGAATAATTATAATATCACAATTTTTTTTAATTAAACCGGGCAAAGGAAAATTATATTTTTTAAAATTTTAATTTGAGAGAAGAGAATCATATCATTACGAGGAGATTAATTAATTTTTTCAATAATCTAAACCAATGCAGGGATCATATATTTTGCCAATCAATGACGATTGTATAACAATTGAGTTTATAAATGAGAACAAATGTTTGTAAATATCAAACCACAGAATAATGTTAATTTGAAGAATCTTATACCCATTATGTTATCTAGGAACATCGATCAATCATCTGAATTGCGCAATTTATATTCTACAATCCATTGTACCCAATTTTGGGTACAACTAGCCTTAAAACGAATCAACGAAACGGAGCAATCATGCGGAAGATCTGGATTACCGCAATGACCCTAGGTGCGACACGATAGAAGATCTGGATTGTCACAAGTCTGCGCGGAAGAGGCGAAACCCTAGGTGCGGACGGGAGAGACGATCCAGGCGCTATTCATATGGAAGGAACTGAAAAACCCTTGGTCCAACTATCGTTTATGCCGACAGCAATGAAGATGTCGATGAAGATGACGATGATGACGAAGATGTCGATGATGATTGGAGTGATTTCAAGTAATGTAAGTTTAATTAGACTATAAAATTATATTTCCAAATTTGAAGAGAATGAATGTTATGTTACATGAGAATGAACACTGCGTAATTTGATAATGCGCACCACTTTGTTTCAGAATGAATACTAAGTTATTCGTAAATGCTCATTATAATTATATTTGAAGGGATTAACCCGATCAAATGGCGACCAAGAACTGAATAAGAATAAGGAAAATATAATCTCGCAATAAAATTCTTAATTGGTGTGTAATCAATCGTTTTCTTCCCTCTTACAATGGCGGGTTCTCCCTCCTTTTATAGTACTTCTAGTTTTTCAATCAAGGTTACACGTAATGGAAGGTTTTATGCAGATCATGGGGTCGTGATTCCCTTATATTCTGGTCTTGATTTCTTTCCATTTCCCCACGATTTGGAGCGTGGGCCACGTGTCCTGTTCCTTCTTCGGACTGGATCGTCTCAGTTAAGCCCATGGGTGGGCCGTCCGCCTCGTCACCCATATGCGCCTCGATGGGCCTGATCCGTTACGCGTACCAGGACTCGTTTACCTTGCACGATTGTGGGCCTTTATCGGGCCTAGAGTCGGGTTCATTAGACCCGATATCCATCACAAGCCCCCTAGTTTTCTGGCGACGTGTCGCTAGGAAACTAATGATGAGCCACCTTCGGTTTTTGTGTCGGATTAGAAACGTCGTACTCGAGTCTCTTCTCACAACGGATATAACCCCTTCTGGACTCATCTTCCTCTTTCTTCGTTGCTGAATCTTGACCCGACCGGAACTCCGACTGCAATTGCCCCCAAGTTCTCGTTTCTTTCTCCGAATTGGCCCCCTCCATTGGCCCCGCAACTTGGATCCATGAATCCTCTATCATCAAAGAGGAGGAACTGCGAGAAATGGCAGAATTCCTCGGCAAAGGCTTCCGGATTCACCATCCTGATGCTGTCGGGGGGATCAGTCTAACTCATAATCGGGATCCCCAGAAATACATGGTCATGCATTACCATTCAGTGGGGAATGGGTTCAGGCTGCCCCTTCATGGTTTGGTTCGCTACATCTGCCAGACCTTCGAATTCCCCCTGGTCAACTCCCCGCCAACTGCTGCTGCTCCCCAAGGGATGGAGAAAGAGGTTGGGGGAAAGAAGGAACCGAAGGAGCAGCATTCCACCACAGCAATCTCCCCATCTTGTGTAGGTTCACGCCGCAAACGTATCCTGTCTTCAGGGAGGGTTGGGCAGGTTTTTCTCGTGGTCTGAACTCCCTGAAGGCCTCCCACTCTACCATCCAGGTCAATCTGGAGAAGATGAGGGGATCGGTGCAGGGTCCCATAATTCCACATGCACGCCCTGACCTGCTTGCCCTTGATGTCCTACACTCCATGGAGCTGGTACCCTTCTCTTTCGAAAGTCTCCTTATTTCTCTTAAATTATCCCTTTCTTGACTCTCCTCCCACCTTTCCAGACCCAACAATCACTCCTCACTCTGACTGAGGAGTACCTGGGTGGAGCATGGGGAAAATATCGAGCTATGGAGGTCCTAAAGGATAAGGTGTTGGCCGCCAGAGCTCTGCAACTTAAGGTTGGTTCCCTCGAGCAGCAAGTCCACGCCCTACAAGAGGAGAATGCCAGGCTCAAAGCAGATGCCTCAGCGGAACTGCTGGCTGAGAGGTCCAGGGTCAAGTCCATGCAAGAGCAGATTGTTACCTACCAAGGAAGTACCCAGGACCTGGAGGCACAGTTTGACAAACTCCGGGGGCAAATCTCCTGTCTGGAGTCGAAAGTCTCTACCCTGGAAGGCAAAGAGGGCAGTGTGAAAGATGAACTGGTTGAAAGGGAATCCCGGATCTCAGAGTTGGAGAAATCACTCCATGAGGCCAAGCAAGAGGGTGCCCACTTTAGTGAGGTCATGTTGAAACACATGGGGTTGAAACGGGAAGCCCTCCAGAAGCTGGAGAATGAGAGAAAGATTGCCAATGAGCTCCGGTTGAAGGTGGGAGAACTGGAGAAGACAGTGGCTTCCCATCAAGGAGAGGTGGCCACCTTGACCGCCCGTGCAGAGGCCCTCTACGAAGAAGGGAAATTTGACATGCAGTTTTGCATTTACGAGGCGGTCCGGAGTGGTCTTCCGGCTCACCAGACCTTGAATGATTTCATTTCATACTACGGCTTGCCTCTTCCCCTTCCTCCCCCAGACTCTCGTGCCAACCCGGGACCTTGGTTTTCTCCTTCTCCAACAGTTGCTATATTTTACTTTGTAATATTTTAGTTGTATCAACATGGTGATGCTTGTAGCATTTTATCCTTTGTCAATATCTCGTTTGTACTTACATCCTAGTAGATTCCTTTCTTTGGGCTAACTGTTTTCCTCTTGGAATTTTCATCCTGCTTTGGGACTTAGCAAAATTCTTACCTGCTTTAAGACTTGGGCTTAACCCACATCCGTATTTCTTCAAACACGCTCGCTCCTGTCGCGCTACGTGACTGGCCCACCTTAAATACATCGGGCCCAATTCACCCAAGCCCATGATGAGTGGCACAACCCTAGTTTTCCTCGGGGAATCCGCAACTGTTTCCCAATCAGATAAGCGCTTTGACTCCGCGTCCTTCACACTCCCTCTTAGCGTCACTCGCCTATTTAAGGAACCAGGCAGAACACTTTCATTATCACAGCCAACTTCACAACATGGCTAATAATGCCAACAGAGTTGTCTTTATTGATCCGACTATCTCTGATTCTTCTTCTGATTCCTCCTCGTTGGTATTTCCCTCGCTTGGAGCCCCAACACCTGAATTCTCTTCTGGACCTTCCTCCGGCTCTGAAAAGTCGGTGACTTCTCCCCCGCCCAGGCGGGAGAACCATCCTCGTCTCCCCCAACAAATATCAGGGGGTATTTTACCAGGATTCCGGCGTGCTCCCTGACGGTACCAGGACGGAAGCCTCTTCTAGCCGTCCTGGCACATCCCGTTAATTCCCAGAAGAGGCACAATCCTCACTCAGAAGCTACCCGGTTGGTCTCTGGTGCAAGGCCTTCCTCCGAAGGTTCCCCCTCTCCTCAGCAGTCATATAGACAAAGCCCTGAGGAGTGGGGGGATTATGACATGGGGAGAAATAGGCATCTGTCTACACAGAGGGAAAAGGACGGAACCTTCCAGGATCCGCCTCCCCCTCCGGCGTAGGCGGAATGAAGCCGTAAATCCTCCCCTCATGCTTCATGGTTCTCATTGCCTACTTTCATGGGAATGACTGAAGGGTGTCCACGAGGCATAGTTTTCAATCCAACCCTCTGGTACCCTTTCATTTTTTTCTTTTGAAGGAGGCATCTGGAGGACGATGGGCTCTCTCCACACCTCCCCGCTCCGGCGTTCTTTTTTGGTCCAGGTGGGGCAGCAAGGGCCAGCGGATTCGTTCCCCTTGCCGCACTGTTCCCCATGGATCATTGAAGCACCGTTTGGCCCAGCCTTCAAATTTTTTCAGTAGTAGGGTAGAAGTAGATCAGGGACAAAGTTCATTGTTGTAACCCAAAAGAATGTAATTTTCTATTTGAGTTATCTAATGAAAAACTCTGTCTCCCGTCTTTTAGCGTTTTCATCGTTAGATCAGGGATAAGGTTCATTGTTGTAACCCAAAAGAATGTAATTCCCTTTATGAGTTATCTAATGAAAACCTTTATATCTTGTCATTTATTATAATCATACCTTGTGTGCCATCGTCTGCATGAAGTAGAAGTCTATATCTGTTTAACTCTTACAACTCGAGGACGATGCTTTATCTCGACCTCCCTAGGAGCATTTGGAAAGGAGAATACTTGCCTCATTCTTCCTCCAAAAAACCCTTCATGGGGAATTGTGATAAACTATTCTCCTTTTGGACCTGGGATTGGCCTGTCTCTTCTCCTTCGGTTCTTTCCCAGAGTACAGATGGGCCCACCTAAACTAGCCCATGTACTTAAATGGAGAAACCCTACTCAAACCTTCGGAACCAACACAAACGCTTCACCCTCCAATCACCAAGTCTTCCACGCCTTTTAACCATATTCGCTGCTTCCCAACGATCCCTTCCCCTTTACTATAAATGGGGAAAGATGGTTTTTTGCTGGCTCATTCTTTTCTGATCTCTTCAACATGATAGACAAAGCCCAAGGTAAGGTTTTCATTGACCTAACCCTTTCTGGTGCCTCTTCATCCTCAGATGACGATCTTCCTGCCTCTCCCGCTCAGTCCAATGACATGGCTGTGCTGAGTCCCGGCGAATTCTCAAGACTCTATCCACCACCCCGTCTCCCTGCGCCTTCACCTCCTAGTCCACCCAGGCTCCCGTCCGGGAGGATAGACTGGGACTCCATGACCCTCCAAGAGTTCGCCTTGTAGCAGAGGATGCAGAAGGCTAGACTTGAGCGTTCTTTTTCAGGCCGCAGAGGCAGAACTTTTGCGTGAAAGCCGGACAGCTTCTCCAAACCTGCCAAGGTCTCCCAGTGGCGGTTCACCATCTGCACCACCTGCACCCCGACCTGGGACATGGGAAGACTAAGACATGGGCGAGGCTGACGATTCCGCCGCGTATCCTTCGTCAGAGAGAAGGAGCCCGTGGAGAGGGCCCCCTCCTCCTTCTAGCTGACTACATGGATGCAATTGGCCCTCCTTCAGCGCCTAGCCCCTTGCGGATCAGTATTTTATTTTCTTGTTTATCTCAAGAGACATTCACTTGTTTGGTTCGGGAGTTATCCCCGCGTCTTGTGCCAAGGAATGTCCTTTAATTTCAGATTAGGAATAATCGTTGTAATCCAAAGATATAACCTTCGAATTAGCAATCGATGAACTTCCTTATTCCCTTGTTTCTTTCATCTCATTGGGAACCATTATTGTGAACCAAAGATGTAGCCTTTGACCCATCAATATAGCTCCTTGTGTTTATTTCTTTGCACATCATCAAATACAAGTACAAATGCTTTTACCTTGCATAAAATCTCATCTCCCGGGGTTTGGATGTGTCGTAGGAGCTTACCTCATCTGCCCCTGACCTCCGTTCCTCCGGGTTAAGGCATAATCTTATCTACCTCGGTTCAATTGAGTGCCAACCCTCGAAGTTTGTTTGCTCGGTTGATCCGTACTGGTGGAATACTAAGCTTCAGCCCTCGAAGTCTACTTGCTGTTCTTCCTGAATTCTGGGTTGTAAAGGCCCTCGAAGTCCGATCCCAACCTTTCCTTCATATTTCACGGAGGCATAAACTTATCTACCTCCGGGGGGCATAAACTTATCTACCTCCCCTATCTTTAGTAGGTGGCATAAACTTTTCTACCTCCCTGTAATGTGGGTCTATCTTGCCCGGGGGTGTTCTCCCCCCCCTTTTTTTTAAAGAAATCTACAGAACAATGGAATTGCAAAGACAC